TTTTTTTTTTCTTTTCCCCGTGCATTGTGCTGTTTTTAAGCTTGAACTAATTTTGTCTCTGCTTTTTATGTTTATTTTTGTGCCGAATTAGTTAACTCAACAGTGAATATTACAAGTAGTTGATTCAGCTGCGTCACAAAATGTAGTGACTGCAGATTCTTGATATTAAAAGCATAGGAATTTTTTCGAATGTATCTCTTATTCTATTTAGATTATTGATGAATTCAGACTTGTTCGTGTTGTTCGTGGGAATTATTTGATTCAGAGATAGAAATAAGTTATTTTTACCATCTAATTTACTGATAGTCTCTCTCTCTCTATGTTCAGATTCGCTCGTTAGCACCCTCGGCCATGGAATCGGAATTAATTACGGTCAAATTGCTAACAATCTCCCTCCACCGTCGCATGTGGTAGATCTCCTTAAATCTCTCAACTTGAGCAGAGTGAAACTTTATGATGCCGATCCGAATGTGTTGGCTGCATTCGCCAATTCAAATGTCGAGTTTATAATTGGACTAGGAAACGAGTACTTGCAGAAGATGACGGATCCTGCTGAAGCACAGACATGGATTCGACAGCACGTACAACCTTATATTTCTCAAACCAAGATCACTTGTATCACTGTCGGAAACGAGATACTCACGAGTAATGATGCTCAGATGATGTCTAATCTACTACCAGCTATGCAGACAATGTACAATTCTCTTTCAAATCTTGGGTTAAGCAAGGAGGTATATGTGACAACAGCCCACTCGATCGGAATCTTGGGTAATTCGTTCCCTCCATCTGCAGGAGCATTCCGACAAGATCTTGCCAACTATATCCAGCGCATATTAGATTTCCATTCGCAGACGGGATCGCCATTCCTTATAAATGCATATCCCTTTTTTGCATACAAAGATAACCCCGGTCATGTTTCACTGGAGTATGTACTTTTCGAGCCTAATCCCGGGATGAGAGATCCGGTTACAAATTTGAATTATGATAACATGTTATATGCACAGATTGATGCCGTTTATACGGCGATCAAAGCAATGGGACATACGGATATACAAGTTAAAGTTTCCGAGACAGGATGGCCTTCTAAGGGGGATCCGAACGAGGTAGGTGCTTCTACAGATAATGCTAGATTATATAACACTAACATGCTGAACCGGATACAGCAACATCAAGGTACTCCAGCGAAGCCGTCAGTCGCAGTCGACATCTACGTTTTTGCACTTTTTAATGAGAATTTAAAGCCCGGACCGTCGTCTGAGAGGAATTACGGATTGTATTATCCTAATGGTACTCTAGTTTACGATATTGGATCAGCCTCAGCC